AGTGTGGGAAGTGTGCATCGCAGCATGCCGTCCGTGGTCCTTAGATCGAGTGTGGGAAGTGTGGGAAGTGTGGGAAGTGTGCATCGCAGTATGCCGTCCGTGGTCCTTAGATCGAGTGTGGGAAGTGTGCATCGCAGCATGCCGTCTGCCTCTACTCCCATGTTGGTGCCTCACCTTCATCCAGTGTTCTGTAGGTGATGACTGATCCAAAGCTTGATTTCTGAACCCTTGGTGTTCTTTTCTGCATGCACTTACCTAAAAACAGTTCCCACTGGGTGTGAAAATTACCAGGAACCACTTTCAAGTGATGTACCCTTCATTCTCTGGACTGTCAAACCCTTTTTTCCCATGATAATCCAGGTAAACGTGTCATTCCCCTTTGGCTGTTGTATGGGTCTGAGGACCCCAGACTCTGGCCTGTGGCCTCAGTTGGCAATCATCAAGTCATTAGCTCTGATGCTGCATCTCTGGATGTTCAGGTTCTCCAAGCAAACAGACATCTCAGGGACATGGAGAAGGACATTTGGTGGACAGGCCATTGAAAACTACCTCCGCTTGCTCTTGGCTTGGTTGTCAGAGAAACTGTCGTATTGACTGTCTGTAACCGTTCCTTCCTCAGATCGCTTACTCAGTGCTGACTAGATTCTTTAAGGCTTGGTTTCCACATGTGGTATGTTTGTAGATAGCTACAGCACTTTCTTTTTATTTATGGTTCGGTTCATTGGCTGTAAATTTTTGAACTAATTTTTTAGATTTTTTTAATTTATCTAATTTTATTTGACATGTATGAGTGCTTTTTTCTTTGTTTTTGTGCACCACATGTGTGCATGCCCACGGAGGTCAGAAGATGATAGACATGGAACTGGAGTTTCAGATGAATGTGCTTCCATTTGCTACTGGGAAATTTACCAAAGTCCTTTGCAAGGCAACAGTGCTGTTAACCCTTGAGCCACCGCTCCAGCACCATGGCTTTAAGATTTATTTTATGTATATGCGTGTTTTGCCCACATGTGTGTATGTGCCACGTGCTTGGCTCCCCCAGAAGACGGGAGTTATAGACACTTGTGAGTTGCCATGTTGGTGTTGCAAATGGCCGTTGATCCTCACCACCAACAGTAGTGCTCCTAACCGCTGAGCCATCTCTCCAGGCTGCTGGGTTTCTAAGACAGCATTAAAGAGAAGTCTGAGACCACTAACAAATGCCCAACGTTATGACTACTGTAAAACTTTATTAGTTACACTATGCTTTTTTATAAATACATGCTTATTCGTACTAAGGGATTAATAGCTAACAACAGTAGAACAATTATACTATAAAAAGCTATGACACTGGGCATGATAGCATACTTACTTGTCTGCTATCTTAGCACTTGTGGAGACAAGTTCAAGGTCTCTTTTGCTATGTTAGTCAGTCTCTCTTTCCTTCTCTCTTTCTCTCCCTTCTTTCTTTCTCTTTTTTTCTTTTCTTCCCTTCTGCCTCTTCTTTCTCCTTTTTCCATTTTTTAAGAGTCTAACTTACAGCCCTGGAACTCACTGAAGGCAGAGATCCACGTGCTTCTGCCTCTGGAATGCTGAGATTAAAGGCATGTGCCAGCAGCTCCCTGTCCCCCGTTCTCCCTGTCCCCCGTTCTGTCTTGCTATGCTGTGCTGATCATGTCTGACCATGAATTATTGAAGCCATGGAAAGCGAAACCACAGATAAAGGAGAAACTTCTTGCGACCTTGAATTGTGTGTAGTCTAGGTAATGTAACGAGGGAGGAAGACAGGCAGTTTTCTATCATTCAGATTAAATTCCTATGTGCTAAGGGAGTTAGATGTCTCCTGTGATATTCCCTACTCTCCCTGTCATCACCATCATTATCATCATCATCATTACTCCCTACATCTCCCTGTGTAGCCCTGGCTGTCGTGGCACTTGCTGGTTTCGTCTGATGTTAGAAGAAGCTCAGCTTTTCTCATAGCTTTTTGTGTGTGTAATTTTTGACTGTGTAGCCCTGGAACTCATTTGTAGCTCAGGCTGGCCTCAGATTCAGAGATCCACCTGCTTCTCCCTCCCGAGTGCTGGGGTTAAAGGTGTGCACATCCTAGGCCCTGGAACCTGTGACTGTCACCTTACATGGTAAAGTGATCTGGCAGACAGAAACAAGGAGCTGATCATCTGGAAGGGGCTGTTGTCATCACAGGGCTTTGCAAGGGGGGAAAGGATCAGAGTAAAGGAAGAGTTGTAATGGTGAAGCAGAGATCAGAGTGATCTGAAGCCAGGAAATAAAGCTTGTTCAGAGCCCTGGCATCGAGAATAAGCAAGGAAACATGCTCCTTCCTGTGGCCTGGGGAAGACCCTGCCTCTACAGCCCAGTCTTGGGCTTTCTTTCTTATCCCTGAATGCAGCAGCACTGGGTTCTTTCTTTGGGATCCTGACCTCAAAGCTAATGGAATAGATCTTGCCACCTTCAGACATCTCCTCCTGCAGTGATTTTGTAATCTTTCCAAGGCAGTTCCTGCTCTGAGTTATGGTTCTGGAGGTGCTAAAGGGTTGTAGGGTACAACTGGACTATTACACCTTACCCTGCAAAGGTGATCTCCTCAAGTAAGGCCATTATAGGAGGTGCCTCTGCCAGCAAGCTACCTTTAAAGATATGAGCCATTTCGGTCCTAACCCTTGCCCTGATTTGCAGGCCCTGGAAGGCTTCTGGAATTAGCCTGTGTTGTGTGTTGGTTGTGGTAGACTGTTCTACTTCTTAGGAGCTTGTGGTTCACTGTCTTCTGTCACGAACTTGAGGCTGTCTTGTTTCTTTTCCTGTCCTCATCCAGCCGTGTTACAGGCAAACGCTTTATCCTGAATATATTTGTTTATTTAAATATATTTGTTTAAATTTGTTTATTTTATGTATATGAGTGTTTTGGTTGCATGTATGTCTGCGTACCACTGGTACTCTTGGTCACGTCAGATCCCCTGGAACCGGAGTTACAGATTGTTGGGAGCTACCATGTCAGTGCTGGGAATTGAACCTATGTCCTTTGATATAGCATCAGTTGTTCTTGACCATTGAGGCATCTCTCCAGTCCTTGGATGTGACATCTTTAAAAACTGTTACTTTATTTTGTCCTTCATACTCATGTTCCAATCTCAGACCAAAGAATCCAGTTTTTCTGAGGTAAATAGAAAGGGAAAGTGTTTTATTTTGAACTCTTTAGAATGGCTAAAGGAGGTGATGTTTTCAGAAAGGGTCTGACAGGGAAGCCGCTTCAACCTAGTAGTGGAACCTGTGCCACAGCCTCAGCTCAAACCGCTCTGCCCCTCCCCACAAGGCTTCTGCACATGCCACTGATAGAAGCTACTCTGCTTCAGTGAGAACTGTCTCTAGTGAGGTCTGAAAGAATACTCACAGCATTGGGGTTAGGGAAGTTGGATGTTCAGACGTTTAACACTGACTCTCTACACAGTGTCATGGGAAAACTATGTACTCCTGAAAAGTGTTTAAAATAGGCAGTGTATTAGGTAATGAAGATCGTCCCTCGATGGATGTGTGAGCAGTCACCTAGAAGGGAACAAGCAAGCCACTGAGAAGAGCCCTCCCTTCGAGGGAAGAAGGAGGTTTCTTTGGCAAAGTGTCATTTTACCTTGGCAGCCAGAACTTTTGTAAGAAAGTTCTCTTTAACCTGAGACATCTACAGTGCACTTTGCCTGCGGTGGGGGCGTGGACATTGTCTCACTCACTGTGCTGACGAACGGCCTGGAGCCTGTAAAGATCTGCCTGCGCCTGCCTCCCAATCACTTGTGAAGAACACTCCCTGAGACACATCAGCCATGCGGTGGTGGCGATGTCCTTTAATCCCACCACTCGGGAGGCAGAGGCAGGCAGCTGTCTGAGTTCCAGGCCTGTGTGATCTACAGAATGGGTTCCAGGATGGCAGGTCCACACAGAGAAATCCTGTTTCAACTGCACCCCCACCCCCCTCCCCCCACACAAAGACGCATTACTATTTCCTGAGCAATCAGAGAGAAACAAATGCTGCCAATTAAACCAGAGCTCACTGTACCAGATATGCCCTGGTTTATATTTTGTTTTGTTTAGAAACAGGATCTTACCTTGGCACTCTCTCTGTAGATCAGGCTGGCCTTGAACCCACAGAGATCTATTTGCCTGCTCCCTTCAAGTACTGAGAATACCTGTGTGTGAAGCTGGGCAGTGGTAGCTCACACCTTTAATCCCAGCACTTGGGAGGCAGAGACAGGCTGATTGATGTCTGAGTTCAAGGTCAGCCTGGTCTACAGAGTTAGTTCCAGGACAGCATAGACTACACAGAGAAACCCTGTCTCTACACAGAGATACATACATACATACAAACACACATATACATAAATGAATGAATGAGTAAATAAAAAATACTTAAGTGTAAAAGAATTATGTCAGAATATAAAAGAATTACTACAGAGAATCCATGAAAAGATGGACCTGGCTGTTTGCTTTCATTTGATTGTTAGGGTCTTTTGTTTTGTTAATTTCAGAACCGTAGAAGATTTGAAAAATAATGAAAGCCAGTGGAAAGATTCCCCACTGGCCACCAGACACCGAGAAATGCTGAAGCGCTGTAAAACACAGCTTAAGGTTTGTACAGTTAATTGGCATGATTATGGACTGGCTTTATAATAGTAATCTTTCCACCAGAATAAGTGCCTTGGGTAAACAGCTTTCTGTCATTATTTCTTCGTTGTTCTTTTCCCTCAAGGTAAAATAGGACAATTTAAAATTTGTTGGTACCCTGCATATTTCTGTATGTGATTATTTAAATCTTAGCAGAGAATGTATGTGCTTATGCAGTGCATTCTTAGTGTTCTCTAGGGTAACCTCCCCGCCCTTTCCTAACCTGCCACACACATGCTGCAGCACACACATGCTGCAGCACACAGGCACACACTCTCAAGACACCAGCACAAGTGCACTGTGATAGTAGAAAGACCTCTTTCGCGTGCCCCTATGTTCTTCACTTCTAATTTAAACTGTTCTGCTACATACCACCTAACAGGAACGGCAAAACTCAGCTAAAAATCTTGCTTAGGAAATAGAAGCACGCGTGCACGTTTTCTGTGTTTATCTGTGTTTATGTTCAGTCACAGCGCGGCCGCTGTGAGACTCCCTCTCATGGCCGTCCTCTGGTATCCTGGTGGGCAGGCGCTTTGCGGGGGGGGAGGGGCTGCAGTTAAGTGGTGCTGAGATTCGGGTATAATTTGTCTGGCTTTTCCCGCTAACTGTCCTGACACCCAGAGGGCCGCCCTGTTGTCCCCGTCCCCATCCGAATCCCTGAGAAATGGTGTCAGTGACTAACTCAAGCACTATGTGCTGTCCTCCGTGCGCAGTGGTTTGCATGGCACACCTCCCTGGTGGTGTTTTTCAGGAAAAAGAAAGACCTTGACACACCAACCAGTGTTCTGTAGCTAGTCAGAGAGGACGTTCAGGCTCTAGAACCTAGATTTCTTACCTGCTGGCCCCGCTCCCTGCATAGTCATGCCGAGGGGCCTTGGCTCTAGAATAACCTGAGGGTGGCCACACCTGCTTCCACAGAAACTGGTACGGTGCAAGGCCTGTGCTGACGCTGGCTTACTTGACGAGAGCTTCCTGAGAAGATGTCTGAATTTTTATGGCCTTCTCATTCAGCTGATGCTGCGCATCCTGGACCCTGCGTATCCCGAGTGAGTGTGCCCTCCCCTCCACTGAGTCTCCGCTGCGCCCGCTCCTGGGGATTTGTGTTCCAGTTGCTGGGTTGTACTTACACGGGCGATGAGCTGTAGTAGTTCCTCATGTGTTTTTAATGGCTTGTCATTTTAAAAGCTTTGATCCAACATTGGATGGCTGTCTTTGGAAGCGCATTACTGCAGGTAACAGGCTAGCCAAGGACATTGACATCACTGCTGTTTTAGTTAGGTCTGTTTTATGGGTATTACAAAGCTGCTGGGTTACAGGTAGAGATGAAGTTGGCTTGTGCCCCCTCAAAGACTGGGAAAGGTTATATAAAATATATGCATGGCTTCGTGGGCTCAGTTTGATTTGCTCAAAAAGACCAAATATGACCTTTGGATTTTTTTCCTATTTTAACTACTACCTTAACTCTAGCCAGAAATCGAGACAAGGCAAACACTTTCCACACCAAGCATGCCCAAGCCTCCCTCATCCTTTCTCCACTTCTAAAGGTCACAGTAGTTTGTCAGTGTGCATTTTACACAGTTGTGTCATACAGTAAGGGCTGCTCTTTCCAAAATGAGGTATTTAGATAACAGCCCTTGTAATCAATGTGCCATGATTTCATTTTCTAAGTTTTGCTTTCTTTTCTTCTACAGCGTAACACTGCCTTTAAATTCAGATGTCCCCAAGGTATTTGCAGCATTGCCTGAGTTTTATGTAGAAGACGTTGCTGAATTTCTATTTTTTATTGTACAGTAAGTACTTCACATGCTCTGATCTAACACGAGCTTTGCTCGCACACTGCATGGCACCATGAGCTGTGTTGTAAGCTGTGTTGTCGCTGGAGTCTGGGGTCATGTAACTTTCTTTACTCAAAAGATGCTCAGAAATTGGAGAAATAAACTCCGTTTAGCAGCAGCCAATTCAAGTACCTTCTGCAGGACAGAAGCAGGATGAGTGATGGATGGCAAGCCCTCCAAAACCTGAGCTGAGCGATAATTAAATGTGTTCCTGAGAAACGAACAGCCCAGTGAACATCCAAACCCAAAATAACCACATCTGTGCTTTGAACCAAAAATTTGTCCATTTGTAAGACTGGAGAAGGTGTGGAAAGAAATAGTTTCATCTTATCTAATATTTGGGAGGAGTTAGCTTTTTTGTTTGGATCTTTGTTTTCCTAAAATATTCATTTCAAGGGCTTGAGCCTTCAGTGTCTGGGCCTGCCTAGCATGTCAAGGGCCCTGAATTTGATCCCCCACACCACCAAAAGCAAAGCAAAAACAAAGCCCTTCACTTTTCATTTTGGAACCATGAGAGGCTATTCTTCATCACTGTAAGAGAGTGGGAACAGTACTGGGTGGCAGAGGGGTGTGTTTGAAGTCTCATTGCAAGCACCAAAGCAGCATAGGCTCATGGGCCCAAAGTACAAATCACAACCATTTTCCAGCAACAACAAAAATCCAGAGTTAAACAGTCAAGTTTTTGTACTGTTGTAAAAGCTGCCCCCCCCCTCCCGCCCCAAGCCAAGCATGATGGTGCGCACCTATAATTCCAGCACCTGCAAGTTCAAACAGGAGGACTGTGAGTTGTAGGCCAGCCTGGTCTACATAGTGAGACCCTCCCTCAAACAGCAAAAGAACAGAAAAGCTGTCCCCAGACAGGCACAGTCAATAGTGATACATAGAGTTTTGAACAGCAAGAATTTTTTTTCTCAAATTTTTATTGGTTCTTTGTGAATTTCACATAACACACCCCAATCCCACTCATCTCCAAGTCCCCTCGAGTCCTCCCTCCAGCCTGAAACTTTCTCCCAGAAGAAAATAGAAAACAAAACTTAAAAAAGTAAATAAACAAGACAAAACATAAAAAAACATTCTGTTTTGGAAGCTGTAGTGTGTTCATTGCAATGAGTCGTTGGTCTGGCCTCTGGCTTCTGCTGCACCATCAATACTGGACTCTCACCCGGACTCTTCTTGGATATCCTGTTGTTGCCCAGTGTCATGGTCCTGCAGCTTTGGATCTGCAGGACTGGCCCTTTCACAGGCTTAGCAGTTCATAGATGAGGTAGATGTTGAGGTGGGCCTGGATCTGGGCCTGGGTGGTAGGTCGCTGGTCATCCTGCCAGCCCTCTTGTACCCATGCCACATAGCCAGCTCTCCTGTGCTGCCTAGTGGAGGTGCACTGTCCCCCCTCCCACCCTGGAGTGCTGTAGCCAGTGATGGGGATGAGGGGGTTGGGGTAGGGGTCTTGTTCTCCCAGTGGGCCTGCGCTACCTCACAGCAGGCAGGTTGCAGGGCTGACTCACCTGTGCCCCTGCCACCAGAGCCTGCTCTATTGTGCTACCCTGTGCAGGGCCTAGTCTTTAGAGTGCTGTAGTAATGGCAAGAAATTTAAAGGGTGATTAAAGGTCATAGTTTAATTGCTGAGTAAATCTAGCACTAGAATTTAAGTAGTCACATTTTAAAATTTATCCCAAGCACAATAATATAAAGATACTTAGTTAAAATTTTTAATTTAAATTTTATTTTTAAAAAAAATTAGTGGGGATTCAAGACAGGCTTCCCTGTTTTGCCTGCACCTGGAACTTGCTCTGTAGACCAGGCTGGTCTCAAACTCGGAATCCCCCTGCCTCTGCCTCTGCCTCCCCAGTGCTGGGATTAAAGGTGTGACCACCACCACCTGGCTAAAGTTTTTTACTTACATGTGTTTATTCATGTGTGTACATGGGTTGTTTCCATGCTACCAAGCACCTGTAGAGGTCAGAAGATGGATGGATGGATGGATGGATGGATGGATGGATAGATAGATAGATAGATAGATAGATAGATAGATAGATAGATAGATAGATAAAACCAGCACTTTTGGACAGTGAAGGTCTTTTTGTGAAGCCTCATGGCTTTTGCTTACTTTCTAAAGTGTGTTAAGTTAGCATAGCATGCTACAGCCAGCACACACACACACTTGGCTTTAAATCTGTGTAGTTCCAGTGTGCATATCACTTTGAACCATCCAGTGTCTTTCCTCCTGTGCTGTGCCCTGTCCTTCCCTTGCTAGCAAACTCTCCCGAGGTTCCCTGGAGCTCATGGCATGTCCTTCTTGCCTCTATTCAGATACTCTCCTCAGGTGCTTTATGAGCCCTGTACTCAGGACATTGTGATGTTCCTCGTCGTGATGCTGTGCAACCAGAACTACATCCGAAACCCTTACCTAGTGGCCAAACTGGTGGAGGTCATGTTCATGACCAACCCCTCGGTTCAGCCTCGAACTCAGAAGTTTTTTGAGATGATTGAGAACCACCCTCTCTCTACCAAATTGCTGGTACCTTCCCTCATGAAGTTCTATACAGGTAGGTTCCAGAGTATGTCTTGTGGTGTGTGGGAGTAGGACTGAGACAAGGCTGTTTCAGAGTGAACGTAAATCTCTCTGTGTGACCTAAAATCCAGAAATAGATGAATAAATAATCCTGTCATCTAGGCTTCAACATCCGCTTATACAAATCACTTCCTAGCCACAGCCCAGAGCACTGGCTGTCGTGAGCCTTCTTCCTGAGCATCTGCCGGCTTCGGACGGTTTAGCAGACTCTGTTTGTTGTTTGTAGCCCAGGCTGTTGCTTTCATCTGAGTAAAGTTACCTGGTCCATTTGCCGTAGAATTTACAGCATTTGATATATAACACCATCCTCTAATTGGGAGCCCAAGTCAGGTCATCTCTGGGTGTTCGAGGCCAGCCTGGTCTACAGAGTGCCAGGACTACACAGAGAAACTATGTCTTAAAAACCAAAGCAAAGCAAAACAAAAGGTTTATTGGATCTCACCCAAGCTAGTGAAATGAGGTGTCTGGGGTCCTCATTAGTTTATCACATTCCTCAGCTCCTGATCTTTGCTGGGTGCTCTTCTCTGGGCTCAGTTACACATGGAAATGACAGAGCATGGGAAACGTGCTTCAACGAGAGTCTGCTCATCTGGTCAAATCGTATTCCACATTTTGACTTGACAACAAAGTGTGGCTTTTGATCTGTTGATCAGGGTCCAGCGAAAGCACAGGCTGCGCTAGAGGTCCCCAGCTGTGTGCTCCTCCAGTGTGCCTGCTTCTTGTCTTCTGTTGAATCGGGCACATTCTGGCTGCTGAGTAAGTACCAGGTATTTAGTAGACTTCACTGTGCTCTACAGAAAATACAGCCCCTTGGCCTTGACAGGGGAGGCCTGTTTGAGGATTCACAGGGTTCCCAGATAGCAGTTGCCCTCTGCCTGTTTGACTGGTGTTAGTTTCTCAGGAGCGCTCAGAATCTGCTGTACTGCCTTTCAGACCTTTATCACTGTTGCTTTGTTCCATCTCCTAAGTTTCTTCCTTTGCCTACTCAGATTCTCTACATGTATAGGCCTATACATGTAGGCACTGATGTCTTGGATACTTGTTAACATCTTTTCCTTGAAGATAGTCCAGCGCACTGCTGCGCCTTTTGGGTCAGGTCCTTTGATCTCATAGACATGAGCTCATGGACAATGAGCTCAGGACATTTAGGTCAAATGCTGCCTTATGTGTATTCAGGACAGGCACAGATGTTGCCTTACACACTGAAAGCTGGAGGAGGCGTTCAAGGCCAGTCAGGGATACATAGTGAAATCCCTGTCTCAAAAAGAAAAAAAATAGGGCTGGAGAGATAGCTCAGAGGTTAGGAACACTGTCTGCTCTTCCAAAGGTCCTGAGTTCAATTCCCAGCAACCACGTGGTGGCTCACAGCCATCTATGCTAAGATCTGTTGCCCTCCTCTGGCCTGCAGGCAGAGTACTGTATAAATAATAAATAAATCTTAAAAAAAAAAAAAAAAGAAAAAATATGTATAGAAAATGTCAGGTAATAGCCACATTCCACAGGAGATATGTGTTAATATTTAAAAAAATTTTTTTGTTAAATATAATTAGTATTCAGTTGGTGGTCGGGTTCTGTGACTGTAGCTTCATGGTGGGTGGGTGTGGGTGTGTGTGTGTGTATGTGTTTGCGTGTTTGCATTTGCTCTTTTCCTTTGTCATGGAGCAGTGTGCCCTCTGGCCTGAGCCCCCACCATAGTCATGGACAGATGATAGCTTTCCTAATAATAGCTGCCACTTGTGGTCCCTGTTCACTTGATGCACACAGCTGTCAAAGGTAGGCCCTATAAATACCTCCAGATTGCAGATGAGGAAACTTGAGCTCAGAAAGGTCAAGAAGCTTGCTAAAGGTTAACGGCTAGGGAGTGGCAGATGCTCTGCCACTCTAGCTGCTCTGCTGTTCTTCCATGGTTCCCATGGCTTTGACCCTTCAGAAGCTTCATAGACACTTCTCCCAGGGGTCTGTCCATTAGATCCTGTCCCTCAACAGGCTGTCTCCAAGATGGGACTTAAGATTTGTATATCCCAAGATAGATTGCAGAACCCAATTCCTCTCAGGCCACAGAGCATAGGAAGTACCTATGCACAATCTTGTTTCAAGCTGGGTGGCAGTGGTGCTTCCCTTTAATCCCAGCATCTAGGCAGGCAAGTCTCTGAGTTCAAGGCCAGCCTGGTCTACATACAGAGTGAATTCTAGGACAGCTAGGACTACACAGAGAAACCCTGTCTCAAAAAACAAACAAACAACAACAACAAAAAAGGAAACAGAAAAGAAAAACCAGAAGTGTTCTAGGAAGGTCTCTGAGGCAATGAGACAAACCAGAACATCAGTGGATCTCAGCCACAGAGAGACAGAAAAGGTAGCAGCAAAATGAATCTACAAGAAGGCAGCAGGAAGCCTTGCTGAAGATGGGTGTCGTAGTACACATTCTTACTCCCAGAGTGTAGGAGGCACAGACAGGAGGATCTCTCTGTGGTTGAGGCCAGCATGGTCTACATAGCAAGTTCCAGGACAGCATGAAGCTTGCGAGATTAACAAGGGACAAGTCCATTTAAGGACTTGGGAATTGGAACCAGGTATGATTTTAAGGGAACTTTGGATCAAATAAAAGAGAAATGTTGTGAGAGGTTCTGTTGAGCAGTGAGCTAACAGTAGTGTCTTCACTTGAGTGTGTCTGGGATGCAGCCCAGAATGGAGCAGCTTTAGATGACAGTGTTGGCTGTGCTGGCCTCCAGTTTCCTCTTTAGCAAGCTTTGCTTGAGTCACTGCTGACACCTTCATCCACGCATTTACATAATAAAATGGCATTTAGTCTTCCTAAGAGTCAGCTAATGAGTGTACATAAATACTCCCAGATCTTAGCATACTAAGAATTTCTTTTCTTTCTTTCTTTCTTTCTTTCTTTCTTTCTTTCTTTCTTTCTTTCTTTCTTTCTTTCTTTCTTTCTTTCTTTCTTTCTTTTTCTTTCTTTCTTTTCTTTCTTTTCTTTCTTTCTTTTCTTTCTTTCTTTCTTTCTTTCTTTTCTTTCTTTTCTTTCTTTCTTTCTACAGGGTTTCTCTCAGTAACAGTCCTGGCTGTCCTGGAACTTCCTTTTTAGACCAGGCTGGCCTCAAATCACAGAGATCCGCCTGCTGGGATTAAAGGCCTACGCCACCATGCCAGGCACTAGGATTTCCTTAGCCTTTTTCTTTTATTATTAAACAACTGGGTTTTCATTCCCCAAAATGTAGACGTTGGAAGACTAGAAAGTATGAAGAAAGGCTGGGGGGGGCTGGAGACCTCGCTCAGCAGTTAAGAATACTTGCTATTCTTACAGAGGACCCAGGGTCGGTTCCCTGACCCACATGGTGGCTCACAATTACTTAAAAAAAGAAGAAGAAGAAGAAGAAGAAGAAGAAGAAGAAGAAGAAGAAGAAGAAGAAGAAGAAGAAGAAAGTCTGGGGTGATAGTTAAAGAGCTTATGTGTCATGTACCAGGTTCTGGATTCAACCTACATTGCTGCCAAAGACAGTACCAGACAATTTAAAAGTTCCAGATCATCTGCGTGCTCATAGTTGGTCTAATATGTTACTTCAAATCTATTGTCTTAGCAGGATACAGTGACACATGCTTGTATGCCTACTTTCGGGGAGGCAGAGGCAGGTGGATCTGTGAGTTTAAGGCCAGCCTGGTCTACAAAGCAAGTCCAGGACAGCCAAGGCCACACAGAGAAACCCTGTCTGAAAAAACAAAAACAAAATCTGTTATCCTTTGTATTTTTATGTGTTTGTTGCATGAACAGAGGTCCGAGGACAAATCGCAGGTGTCATTTCTGTCCTTCCAGCGTGTGGGTACTGAGGGTTGAACTCAGGTGTTCAGGATTGATGGCACTTCTTACAGAACCATCGTGCTGGCCCTCAGTCACTTTTTAAAAAGCTGTGACTACGCCCAAACCATACATTTGTCTTTGTAATCTGTGATCTTGTGTATGTCTGGCTCTCCTGGAACTTACTCTGTAGACCAGGCTGGTCTCCCATTCAGAGACCCACCTGCCTCTGCTTCCCTGAGTGCTGCGGGATGCTGGGATTAAAGGTCTGCACTACCACTGCTCGCACAATCTGTGCTTTTCAGCTAATGGTAGAATATACATTTCCATATTGTTTCTTAGATATTTGTATTATTAATATTTTCTTACTTTTTAATTTATTATTTATTACAGTTTATTCACTTTGTAGCCCATCTGTGGCCCCTTCCCTCATCTCCTCCCAATCCCTCTGTCCCTCCTTTCTTCCCTCTTCTCCTCCTATGCCCCTCGGATTACTAATATTTTTTTCCTAGTCAAAAACAGTATTTCTGTGTGGTGGAGCAGTTGCCTAGCATTTCAAAGCCCTGGTTTCAATTTCCAGTACTGTAAAAATAAAAATAAATGAACTGTTTTGTTGGTCATGCTTGGAAATCAGTCTTTGAGCATACCCGCGGATGTTTCCTTGAGTAGAATTGATAGGCCAGTTGAAAGCTGATTTTTGTGCTACAGTTTGCAAAATTGTTGAGCAAGAGGCGTGTTTGAGACATTGTCTCTGATACCCAGGCTGTCCTCCAGATTGCTGTGTAGCAGAGGCTGGCCTTGAACTCCTGCTCGTCCTGCCTCTCAGTGCAGGGATTACAAGCATGAACTACCACACCTGCTACTGAATTGTCTTCCCAGAGAGTGTCACTGTTTGTTCCCCCAGCATGTGCGGTATGCCTGTTTTCCTGAATCCTCACCTCCATTCATTCTTGTGGTTTTAAATGTCTGCCAATAAGCCATGCTAAAAAGCTCTTTATGTCTTTGTTAAGTCATAACTGCCTTTACCTGACATTTTTTTTTCTCCTTTTTGAAATCTGCAGTGAATTTGGAGCTTTTCATCCTCACCCTCTTAGCCATGTGCAGACTGCATTTGGGTTTTAGTCATCTTAGAATTACAGGGATGCTAGTGAGGAGCACACGACCCACAAGTGTGTGGGCAGTCACTGTGCCTTTCTCTACCCTTAGATGCGCTTGAAAATGTGTCTGGTACAAAGAGTTTAAAATAATAGCCATGTAGCTGGGCACACTGATGCACGCCTAGAATCTCAGCGCAGAGGCAGGTGGATCTCTATGAGTTCCAGGCCAGCCTGGTCTACAAAGCAAGTCCAGGACGGCCAAGGCTACACAGAGAAACCCTGCCTCGAAAATAAATAAATGAAGTAGGCATATAATAAGTACCTTAGTTTAGCCTATTTTTTCTGCTCAGAGTTGCACATATGAACTGCTATGGAATTTACTTAAATTAATGGCTTAAAATGGGAGGGAGATATGATTAAATGAGCTTTTACCGTGGATGAATTGACACTGTCAGTCTTTAAAATGCTGGCTTTTTAGCATATTCTTGCAGGCGTTGATCATGAAACTTTGGTCTTTAAAGTCAGCTTATTAGGGTGAGGTTCACCTTGATTGCTGTGCTCCGGGAGGCAGAAGCAGGTGACTTCTGGGAGGTCCATGGCTATACAGTGATGCCCAGTCTTTTTTAAAAAGAAGAATGAAGTCAGAATGTCTCCTGTGCCTTCCATAGGAGATACAGGCTACATTGTCCCAGCTCTGCCGCCCGCCCTATCAGTGTCTTAGTGCCTGCACCTCGAAGGTCAGAAAGGGCCTGTGTCTGAGTGCCTTTGTCTTTTCCTCCTTAGATGTCGAGCATACTGGAGCCACCAGCGAGTTCTATGACAAGTTCACGATTCGCTATCACATAAGCACTATTTTTAAAAGCCTTTGGCAAAATATAGCTCACCACGGCACCTTCATGGAGGAGTTCAAGTGAGTACTGGGCCCCGATGGCACGGCTTGCTCTCTGGCCACTCACAGGTAGCTTGCTGCTGAAGGCTTTCCCAGCAGGTTCCCGTGGCTGTTGTCTGGGCTTCAGCCTCCTGCAAGTAGCCAGAAGGTACTGCTTGGCATGGCCACCTCTGTGATTGTGTGCTTACTTTACAATTGTCCAGACTGGGAGTAGCTTATGTGGGGACGTTGTGGGAAAATGCACAGGTGAAGTGATTTTTTTGTGTTTTCTCTGAACTATATGTTGTTAAATGGAGTTATCCATTTGACTCAGAAATGTTAAGGAAACATGAGACTTAGAAGCACTTAGGTGTGGTTGCTACTTAACGTTCTCTTGGTGTGCTTATGTGCCAGGCCGTGTTAATAACTCTCCATACGTCACCTTGAAATTGTATAAGCCTGGTCAGTCGTGATTCCTCTAAGTTATTTTCACGTACGTAAAAGAAAAAAAGATGGGTGTAAACATTAAACCTTGCGTATCCTTCAGAAGACGGCGTGTCCCACTCCTGTGTCAGATCGAGTCTGGCTGTCCACTGAGTTTCTAGTTGGCATTGCCAGCGCCTTGACCTCTTAGGGGCTCGCTCTTGAAAAGTAAAGTCAATTAAACTGCTCTCATGGTCAGTAAGTTTCCAGACAGACCCTCAGCATAAGCTGTATCTGTCCACGGTGCTTTTTGGGAATGGATGTCCTGGTATCCCCACAGTCCTGAGACTGAAGCCATCTGTTCCTCTTCACAGGACCCTCTCATCCCCAGCATGGCCTTCCTGCCGTTAAGTAGAAAGTAATGGCGGGTCATTTGTGGGCCTTCTCTTTGCCATGAATTGTCAGTTTTAGAACTTAACACATCGCTAGTAAGTCCCCTCATTCTGCACTGATGGCAGGGTCCTCAGACCCCGAGCTTGGGGTCTATGGAATGAGTTCCTGGCTCTCTTTATTGATATTACAGCACTAAATTTTCTTCGGTGTCTGTTTGTGATAAGTAATAACATTATCAGTAATCTCTTGTCTTCTGAGTTTGGGTAATTCTTGTTGCTGATCCCTCCCAGCCTGGAAGAGTGTTTCCCCTACTTAGAAACACTGAGCAAGCAAGCCCGGCTGTGCTGTGGACCGCTCCAGCGGGAGGAGTGTCAGCATTCGCTTCTTTTCCACGATGTAACTAAGTAACTCATTGCCAAATATAAACTGCTATGGAAGTCAGCTCAGAAAATTCTGGAATATTTACCAATTGGCTCAGACTGATTGGCTCAGCCATACAGGGTTGGTCCAGCATGTCACCAGAATGAGCTTATCCAAGTGAATTGAAAGAATAGCAGGGCTGGAACTTGGTGGTTCCTGTGTGATATCCTGGTCTGTGAGGCTGAGGCAGGAAAGTAGTCACAGAGATCAGCTTGACCTGTGAAGACCTTTCTCACAACAACCAAAAAGAGAATTACAGAATCTAAGGAGAAAGTTGATTTGGTGTTCCTTAAACTCCACTGTGTGTCATTTGTGCCAAGATTTGCCATCTCACAAGTAGTCTGGTTGGTACTTGGGGGCCGGCCCACATTCTCCGTGACCTGCCAGATGTTTACCACACCCTGTCTTGTTGCCCTTTCAGTTCTGGAAAGCAGTTCGTTCGCTATATCAATATGCTGATAAATGACACGACCTTTTTACTGGATGAAAGTCTGGAGTCATTGAAGCGGATCCATGAAGTGCAAGAAGAGATGAAGAACAAAGAGCAGTGGGACCAGTTGCCTCGGGTGAGCACAGCCTTGGTGCTTGCACAGCTTTGCAGAGGCTGCCTGGGCAGTGGCTCTGGCCTTCCCTGCAGGCTTCCTGGAGACACTAGGTCTGCCTTCCTGCGGGGCTTTTCCACATGTAGGCTTCCATAAAGTAACATTTCAGGTTTGGGATTGGAGACAACTTCTTAAAGGTTTTTATCTGAAGCTAAGAATTGGGGCAGAGAGTATGGCTCAGTGATAAGAGTGTTTGCCTAACATGCTTAAGGTCCCCAGTGGTACCCCCAAGCCCTGGGGGTGGGGGGGGAATTTACTCTCTGCTTGAGTTTTAGCTAAGAATGTTCCTCATTATACTAAGACTACCTGTCAGGCCTCCCCTCAAAGCCAGATTCTCATCATCAAAAGCAGTCTGGTGTTGAGAACTGGAGAGATGCCTCATCAGTTAAGAATGCTTAACTCTGTTCCCAAAGACCCAGGTTCAGTTCCTAGCACCCACATCAGGCAGCTCACTACTGCATGTCTTCTGACGGTTTGTGTGACTCCTGCACACACACAATACTCAGGCACACAGACATTAATATAGATTAAAAAAAACATACATATACGTGTGTGTATGTACACACACACACACACACACGCATACACAAAATATTCAAGGGTGGAGGTAAAATACAAGCTTACCATGGGAGGAGCTCCTGGATTCTAAAACTATCACCGAAATAGTTGTAAAATGATGTCTTAAATTGACGAAATGAGAAACCTTTCCCAAGGCGTTGCAGACACTTTCTCTGCCTTTAAATTTAAAGGACTCTTTAGAGGACTGTTTAATTGTATATATTGTGCCTATGACTTGTGTGGTAGCCAGGAAATGACTCCCCAGGCTTCTGTCTGCTGGGCAGGAACTGGGTTTGCTTACACGGCCTCTGTAGACATCTGAGAGTCGCCTAGGGTCCTGTCAGGGCTTTTTCCTTCCTGTTGATCTTGGTTTTCCCATTTGGTTGTGATTAGAAAAAAGGCCTAGTTGCCAGGTTCCGTAAGAAATCCATGCTTTAATAGTGACAGTACACCGTCCTCTCCTGACATGATGAAAGCCATCCAGATGGTTCCTTGTCACCTAGTAGGCTCTGACAACTCCTGGGAAGGCCATAGTGGCGATAGGTCAGAATCAGAGCATCTTTCCACAGGGTTCTCCCCTGCGGGGTGGGTGCTGAGCTCACGGTCAGGCAGTGCTGAAAAGCATCCTGATGGTAGGATACCGAACTTTTAAGGAAACGTTTTTTTAAAGGCAGAGTGTCATCCCTTGGTGACACTTTTTGTGCTGGAACTCGAAGAGATCCACTTGCTTCTACCCCCTGGTTGCTGGTATTAGAGGTGTGTGCCACCATAGCCCAGCTTAGGGAAGGTTTTCATCACGAGTGTTCCCGCTGCCTCGATGAGAATTTCACATCTTGTTCCTTCCACTGGCTTCTGCCTGGAGGTCCATGAATGCCTGGCTCCCCCTGTCCCCACAGCCCTTGCCTCTGTTGCTGTTGAAATAATGCAGTTTTCTACTGAGTTTGTATTTCCCACTCTGCCTATCCTACACATGACCCCAGGTTTGTTTCTAAACACTCTTCATTTGTTTTGCTTCCATCTCTATGGGGTAGAGTCGGCGCAGGCTTGCTGCCTTGCCCCTCCCTAGTGTGGCTGTAGGGGCTTCTTGTCACCCTACCCTCAGTCAGCCTGCAGATTTAAACCACAAGAAGGAACATGCATGTCCAGGTCAAGCCAATGGAGCCTCAGCTCTTTTGTCCAAGGTGTGCTGGGTCTCGGAAGTGGCGCCTGTTCCTGAAATGTTTCCTCAGCCATACTTGAGAGAGAATGCCCTGACCTGCAGAGACACCTTAAGGAGAGGTGATGGCCTGAAGGTACATAGCTCATCAACCGGACAGACAGCTTGCAGAGTTTTTGTTTCAGTAGTCTGAAGTAGAATACTCCCCATTCTGCCCAAACAACACAGCCTCACCTCATTCTGCCTCTGCCTCAGCAGCCTTGGAAGCCCTCCCATGTTGTTTAGACCATCCAGTCTCTTAGAAGTTGGGCTCTGGGCCTGAAGCCCATTCTTCTTGTCACAGTCAGGGCATTTACTTGAGACAGATACTATTGATTCTTTTCTTAATGAATTTTTTTAAGGAACAAATCTTCTTTAAAGTGTTCATGAACAACTTTTCCTTGACCCTTGACTCTTGACCCTTGACCCTGAGGTTGTTGGCTACTTTTCACTTCCTTATCCCCCAGCCTCCAAGCAATGGTAGCTCTAGGGCTCAGTCCTCTGCTTCTAGGCTTTCCCCACCTCTGCCCCTGGGTGGCTCTCAGTGGGGCAGTAGCAGGATGCTGAAGCATTATCTCTGCAGGAAACTGTCTGCCGCTGTTCATTTAGCACCAGTGATGTGTGTCCTTCCTGTCAGCATTGTCTCACCTCTATTGTTCCCACCCCTCCACCCCCAGCCCAATTCCTCACACAGCTAGATACACTCCCGCACACTCCCGCACATTCCCCGATGCCTCTTCTTGAAATCACTGCCAGGTGATGTCATCTTTTCCAGGGCTTTAAATATCCGTATTTTAAAGACTGCAAAACATAGCTCGCTGCTTAGTGCACTCCAGTCTGCAGACTGCCGAGCGCTGTGGGCTTGCTTTGCCTGCCGGCTGTCCCAGTACAGCTGATGATCCTTGTGTCCCTTAAGTCTCCTCTCTGAGTCACAATCAGTGACCATAATAAATGGCAGCTTCGTCCTACCAGGTTTCTGCGTTGCCCTTGATCATCCTGTGCCCCTCCCCCATCTAGAGGCTGTCTTTTATCTCCATGAGCTAAAGCTGTAGTTCAGTGGTGGAGTGCTTGCCCAGCATGCTCCGGCTTCAGTCCCTAGTACCCTACAAATGAGATGTGGTGTGTACCCTGTAATTGCAGTAGTCAGGGTGTGGAGGCAGGGTGGTCAACAGGGCTGTGTGGCCTCTTTCTGCTACTCCCAGATCACCATTCTGTGCCCCCTGCAGTACTGCAGCAGCATACTCTTGGTCTCCCGGCCTCACCCTTGCCAGCACACACAGTGAAGAGATGCCCCTTCTCACTCAGCTCAGTGTGTCCTATGGGGCTTGGACACTTTCTGTCCTTATCTCCCGACACCCTTCCCTCCACTCGATCTGCGCCCACACTGGCATCTCACACGTCTTCATGGCACTTGCTGTTCCCTCTTCCTGCGTGCTCTTTCGGACTGTAAACCCTACTGGGCTTTGTTGACCCGGGCATCACTCTTGTCGATAATTCTCTCCCCAGAGCCTCCCCAGTTCCTTGCCATCGCTGTAGCCTTTCTGTGTGTCTGTCTGTTGGAGGGCTGTGTTGGCTTACTAAGCAAGTCTCCCTAAATGCCAACCGAGTCAGGAGCCTCTCTGGGTTATTGCTGCACTTCAGTCCGAAGCCTCAGGACACACCAGTAGAAGTGGAGGTAGAACTCCGCATAGCCCGGCCACTCCAGATTTTGCTAGGGGCAGGGGGAGCCAGGTCCTTGGCTACTTTGCAGGGAGGAATTCAAGACCACCATTCGGGAAGCAAAGTTCGTGAGGTGGTTACACATGCTTTAGATTTAAGCTCTCCTAGGCGCTCTCCTAGATGTTTTTAAATTTTTGGTTACGAGCCTAGCCTTTAACCTTAGATGCTTTTAAAATGGAGAATAAATGGCTAGAGAGGGGACTCAGGTTCTATTCCCAGCACCCACATGACAGCTTACAACTTCCTGTAACTCCAGTTCCAGGGGATCTGACTTCTCTTCTGGCCTCGTTGGGTACCAGGCATGTACATGGTGTACTGACATACATGCAGGGAAAAACACTCATGCACATAAGATAAATGTACATATACATATGAGAACTGGTTTGCTTCTCATCTTTAAAGAATTTTTTTTTTTTTTTTTTTTTTTTTTTTTGGTGGAAATGTAATTATGAGGTAGTTTTGTGAGGTTCCTTGCTTAGATTTCAGGATGAGAGAGGATGTGAACACAGTTAAACTCAAGGCCACCCACATTCTGGCCCTGAGCAACAGTAGCTTGTTCTAGCATCTTTGGGATGTCTTTTTGTCTGCAGCACTAATCTCTATAGGAAATTCAGGTTAATCAGTTATATTAAAGTTTCAGGCCTCTGGCCAGTTCAGAATAATTTTTTTCTTTCCGTGTTCCCTTAATATTCCCTGTCTGTCTGTCTGTCCTCCATCTTGCCTCAGACTCGGTCTACATAACGTGTGCAAATGACGGACTAACACTGAGGCCATTGAGGACTGGCTCTTCCCAGTGCCTTTCTCTCAATAGGCTCATTCTTAACCCTGGCCAAGTGGGCAGTTCCCCAGCCGCACTTCGGAGTCTCTACCAGGCACAGGCTGTAGCACCAGCCAGGAGGGTACTCACTGGGCTATGGCAGCCATTCCAGCTGTTTGCCCCTCCCAAGCGCAGAGGGCACTGACGCCGGGCGTGGTGGCACACAGTTGTAACCCACTGCTGAGGAGGAAACATGGAAATCTTTCAGGCTTGCTGGCCTGTTAGCCTTGTCTACTTGGCAAGTTCTAGGCCAGTGAGAGAAACTATTAAAGGTGGGAGGGAGGCGTTAGCTGAGAACAAGATCTGAGTTTGTCCTCTGACCTTGACGTGCATTCCTACATGCATGAAGGTGCGCACACACATGAGTGCTAGGCTGAGTGTATGGTACACACCTATAACCCTTCCTCTAGAGTGGCGGAAGCATAGGATCAGAGCTTAAAGCCTGTGTAGCTTGTTGGTGGTCGCCTGTGTCATAGGAAACCTGCCTCAGCTGATGAGAGGGTGCAGAGCCTTCGATTCTACCTGTTTTCCCCATGAGTCAAACTGTTCATTACCTCATTCCCCGTCTGTGGCAGAACTGAGGGAGAAGGATGGTACCGCCGGCAAATGTACTGATGCTTGTATGGAATGGCAGCCTGATGGTGCAGAGTCACAGTTCGAAAGCCTGTGTGTGAAAGTGTGCTCACACGCACGCTTGGCGCCTGTGGAGGCCAGAAGAGGGCCTCAGCTCCCGTGGAGCAACAGTTAACGGGTGGGTGTGAGGCACCGAGTGAGTGGAAATTTAAACTGGCATCCTCTGCAAGAGCAGCAGGTGCTCTTAACCACTGAGCCATCTCTCCAGCCCTAGTCTCATATTATTTTTAAAATGCTGATGACTAAAGTGAAAGTCGTTTTTAAGGGGAATGAACCCGCCCTGTAGTTCCAGTATGTACATCAGGTGTTCTGATAGTCTAATTCAGCGGGTCTCAACCTGTGCGGCACAACCTTTTGACACACCTCTATCTCCAAAACTCTTTACATTGTGGTTCACAACAGTAGCACAATTAGTTATGGAGTAGAATTGAAAATAATTTTATGCCTGGGGTCACACATGAGGAACTGTTCGAAAGGGTCACAGCATTAGGAAGGTTGAGAACGGACTGGTCTACATCATCCTCCCTGCAACCAGATGTGGCTGAGGAAACTGGCGCTCATGAGAGGTCAGTGGACCAGGGCCAGGGGTGTAGGTCAGGGGGGTAGCCTGCGCTCAGCATGCACCAGGTGCTGGGTGTCGGCCAGCAGACCACATGGGCTGTCTGGACAGATCTGGTGGGCCCACTGCCTCTGTGGCAGAGCACACTGGCCTCCGCAGTGGTACACTGACGTGTCACTCCTTTGCACTTGCGAAGTTCTGAGTAGATGGCTGGTACTGAGATGTCTTTGGCAACCGTGATGTCTCCTAGGATCAGCAGCAGGCCCGGCAGTCTCAGCTTGCTCAGGACGAGAGGGTTTCACGTTCCTATCTTGCCCTGGCAACCGAAACCGTGGACATGTTCCATCTCCTCACCAAGCAAGTCCAGAAGCCGTTCCTCAGGCCAGTGAGTAGAAACTGGAGTGCTTGTGTGTCCTGTGGGCTGCCACGCCCCGCGCTTACAGCTCAGCACTAGTGTTCCTTTCCACACCGCAGCCAGTGAGCAGGGTTCCGGGTGGCCCCGGTTATATCAGGTGATACAGCACATGGCACTCCACCGGACCGAAATGAAGCCCCTTGATGTACACTCTAGAAGGCTTAATTCAAGATGGCTTTCTTCTTTCTGTTCGCACAGCACATTTGGATTATAGATTTGTGACACGATTTCATTGTTACTGATTTCTGTATTTTATATATCGGAAAATACAAGGTGACAAATTATGATTTGGAAGACATTAAGTAGAATAATTGATAAATGATCTTTCTGCTTTTAAAGTAGCTTTGTAACAACATGGAGGAAGCCAAAGGCTCGTGAGAGCCGTGGCTGGGGCTCACAGTAGATGAACGGCAGTCTCAATATTCCACCTGATTGCTAAGCTCCGGTACTGTTCTGAGGTTGAAACTGAGCAGCCGATAAGGCGTTGAGACGCCCCGTGCTTCGGCAGAGCAAGGGTGCAGGGGAAGGTGAGGAAGGGAGCCAAGGTCTGGCCGCCTCTGTTGGCACATGCAGAGCTTCCTGTGGAGTGGGGCGCAACTTCACAGCATGTTCACTCCAGCTCTCCATATTTCCTCTTGTTCCATCACGTGATGCAGTCCACTGTCTCCAGCAGAGGCACTGTCACACAGTGGCCTGTCCGCAGCTCGAGGCCTGGGCCTTTTCCTGTCTCTTGATAAGCAGCTGTCAGCACAGTAGCAGGGGAGAAAACAGCTCACCATTCAAGTACCTGTTTCCCTTAACGATGTGTAAAAGGGATTTACTAGCATTTCCTACAAAGGCTAGAGAGTAAGTAGTTTAAAGATGTAGACCGCGTGTCTCAGCAACTTTTCAGCTGTGCTCATGCTACAGCCTGAGCATAAGGAAGTCTGGCTATTTTCCAGTAAAACTTTATTTACCAAAGAATGACCACATTCAGATAAAGCTTTATTTACAAAAGAATTTGCTAGAATTGGCTACAATGGTGCTTGTTTTTCCAACTCTTTTTGTTGTTGTTTATTTGTGTAAGATTTCCTTTTATTTATGTGTATATTATGTGTGTATTTTATTTATTTGTTTGTTTGTTTGCTTGTTGGAAACAGCATGTGCCATGTGTTAGCCAGTGCCTCTTGAGGTTAGAGGAGGGCCTCAGATTCCTTGGAGCTGGAGTTACCCGTAGTAAGGGGCTCTCTGATGTGCTGGGAACTGAACTTGTGTCCTCTGGAAGAGAAGCAAGTATTCTTAAGAGCTGAGCCATCTCTCCAGCCTCCATTTCCACCCTCTTTACTGGCTGGCTTAAACACTCCCTTGTAGACACCCAGCAACTCCTATCAATTCTGCAGCCCCAAGCGTCTCCACACTGGACTACACCTGTGCTTTCTGTAACAGGAAGCTCTGAGGTGCTATGTCTATCAGATTTGTGCAAACCCTGTCATTTCATGAGAACCCCATTATTATTATTTAAAGAATCTCTTTTGTGGCCGTTATTTAATCTGCATCAGCTCTTCTCTTGAGTTCAGATGCCTTGTCTGCCCAGCTGTAGCTATGCTATTGTCCTGCGGGCCCTTGAAATTTATTTTGCCCTTTTCTGGCTGTTTGATTCATCATGCTGACTAGATTGAAAAGCGTCGACAAAGGCCACCTTCTTTTTGTGTTACTCTTCAGAAGTAAGTAAATACGAATGGCATATACCCGGCTGAAGGGCCTTTTGGAGTTTATGGGGAAGTGCATGAACTGGTGCTTCATAACTGAGACTGGCAGGGTGGCAAATGCTCTCCTTCACCTGTTTCTCGGTGAATTTGGATTGATGCTTATAATTAAAAGTGTGTATTTTTATGGGCATTCAACCATCTGCAGTTGTACCATTCATTATAAGGGTTTTCAGATAAATGCTGAAAAAAGTGTTTGATTACAATGCTAGCTTTCTTTAGCTTATGCTTCTCAGCTTGTTTAAGGGATTCTTTGAAGATTAAGCTGATTCCTATTCTCACTGAGGTGGGAGTTTCTGGTCCTCGACTTTCCCAGCAGCTTGAACTCCGCTGTTATCTTGGTTTCCTAGGAACTTGGTCCCCGGTTGGCAGCCATGCTGAACTTTAACCTACAGCAGCTGTGTGGACCCAAGTGCCGGGACCTAAAAGTTGAAAACCCAGAGAAGTATGGTTTTGAGCCAAAGAAGCTGTTGGACCAGCTGACCGATATTTACCTACAGCTGGACTGTGCCCGCTTTGCTAAAGCCATCGCTGATGACCAGGTGAGTGCCGAGTGGGGCCTTTCACAGGAGACGGGAATCATCGGGAGCCGTACAGTTCGTGTCTGTGGTCATCGGGAGCCGTACAGTTCGTGTCTGTGGTCTGCGCATTCATGGCAGAGCCTGTGAACATTCTCTCCCTCCTGAGTTTTCCCGGCCTTTAGAGGCATGGAAAGCACGGCTTTTTAAGTTTTGGTTTCAGACGTTGCTAATGCAGTGGCATGAAGCAAAGGCGCACATCTGGACCAGGAGGAAGTGGGCTGCTGCTTCCTTGGGAGGAAAGAGCAGAGCTGGCCCCTTAATCCCTCAAACCCCAAATACATTCGGTGTCCAAGCACTGTTTGTATTTCTCAGGGTCTTCCCGAACGCCCTGCTCGAGAGCGGCCGGGAACATGTGGCCTTCCAGCCAAAGCCTCCTCCCCTCCGTCCCCCAAGGGCCTCGGGATCACACCAGCCTGTGTTGTTCCACAGCCACCAGTGCAGGCCACACTGTTCTCCACACCCTCTCCTGTCCTGACAGCACAGGCCAGTAGCCAAGATACTACGGAGGCTTGAAACAGGATGGTCACAAGTTCAAGGCTAACCTGGACTTACTGAGACCCTCTCTGAAAATAAAATTGACCCTGGAATGCAGCACCCGGATGTGCAAAGCCCTAGGCTAGGTCCATAGTCCAGCCAAAAGCCTTTAAAAAGAGAAAAAGACAGGGCTCCTTCGAGCATGGTCTCTGCTCCTCCTTTTATCTTCTTCCCAGGTCTTTTGCAATCAAGTCTCATGTAGACGAGGCTGGCCTTGAGCTCCTGATCTCAGGCTCTGCCTCTTGAACACATTGATGTGTGCCGCCATGCCTGACATCTGGGACAAATCTGCGTGGTAGGGGCTCAGCTGGTAGGGGCTCATGTTGACTAACTGCACTCCTTCGGAACACTTCTCCTGTTTCCATTCATTTATAATCACAGAGTTCTGTGATACAGTTTCTACTGTCTTTTGTTTTAAAATAAAGCAGGGCTAGCCGGGCCAGTGGCCCATGCCTGTAATCCTAGCACTCAGGGAGGCAGAGGCTAAGTGATGGTAAGGGTGGATGTGCAGAGAAGAGAGAAGACAAGCGTGTGTAGTTAGTTATTTAGAAATGGAAGTTTTAAAATGCACCACTTGGGCCAGAAATGGTGGCGCACACCTTTGATCCCAGCACTCTGTGAGTTCAAGGCTAGCTGGCTCTACGAGAGTCCAGGACAGCCAGGACTATACAGAGAAACCCTGTCTGGAAAACTCAAAAGGAAAATGGGGTGGGGGTGGGGAGGCAGCACCTGAGAGGCGGGGGCGGGTAGATCTTTTTTTTTTAATTCAGTGCCAGCCTAGTCTACGTAGAGAGTTCCAACATCCAGAGCCACATACCGAGATCCTCTCTCGTTAAAAAGAAAGAGAGAAGAGAGACTGACTCAGTCTAGTCCTGGAAAGGAATGCAGCTATAAAATGAGTCCATAGTGGTTGTCAGTGTGGGTCCCACTGAGTCATAAGATGAGGAGTAGGCACAGGACAGCCGGCCCCCAATAAAGCAGAAGCCCCGCAAGTCAGTCTAGCCGGCCCATTGCTCTTTCACTGGGGGCTAGGGAGGGCCGTCTAGGGAAAATGACACCAGTTGCCTGGCACCCAGCAACTTCCTTGGTCATCACTGAGTCTCAGGTGTGCGCTCTCACAGACCAGGGAGGGAAAGAGCATTTGAAGGCGGCATCATCGCTTGACCAAATGAATGGACATTTGGTCACTTGTTGGAGGACTTGTTTTGTTGGGTCTCTGTTCTGTGGTTTCCCAGTGTGATTAGAGACTGTGGGTTGTCCCAGGACCCCAGGGGGACCCATTCTCCTCTTTTCCTATCCTGTCCTAAGTCAGCAAGTGGCCGCTGTAAAACATGCTATACATTTGTGCTTTGTGCGGTCAGTGATTTTTATACACCAGGTCCCTCAGAGTTAGGTCGCTGTACAAGTCACACCGGACGACTCTGCCTTGAGCAGGCTGGGGAGTTGCCTAAGAGTGCACAGCCGGGAGGTGATGGGGCCTGAATGCATGTCCATGTTTGTCTGGACTCAGTGCCCACCTTGCCCACCTCTGTTGTAAATGAAGTATGCTCCTGGGCCCAGTCACCTACTTTTTAGAGTGGTCTGTTGCTGTGGAAAATCTGCCAATTAAGTAGTGCTTGGGTTTGGTGTTGGTACATGGCTGCTTTCTTGGTGATTGGGTTTGTTTGTTACTGGGATCCGTTGTGGAATGGCCTCATCGATTAGCCTATGCTGGCCTTGAACTTACTTCTCATCCTCCTGTTCTGGTCCCTGAGTACTAGGAGGGAGTACACATGTGATGGCCATCATGCTCAGCTCAAATAAGCTGGAGAACAGTGACTCGCCAAGCTCCCCTAAGTATGAGCAGTAGTGAGGCAGGGGCATGTGTTTTGGTTTTTGTCTGTTCATTATATGAGAAAACTGGGATTTACCTTGTCTTTTGTGCTCCTGGGGCACAGTGCCCCACAAAGACTGAAATAAACTCAGTTTCCTTCACTTTTTAGTGACAAATGTTAAAATAAATGCGTGCTAGCTCCTCAAGTCTAAAAACTCCTGTTTTTGCTGGGTTCTGCAGCTTTCTCCATAGAAGACCTTGGACTGCTGACACGTGTTATTTTCTCTCTCTGTTTCTGACTATATCCAGGACATGCAGCCTTGCACACGGTACAGTGTATAGGGGAAGACTAGAATATAGAATGTATAAGTACAATTTTTAGGAGCAGAAGGTAAAGTGGATTGCACTTGCCCATTTTCTAAAGCTTTTTATCTTTTCAAGCATATTTTCATATCACGTGACCTATCCTTATCTGCAGAGATCCTACAGCAAGGAGCTATTTGAAGAAGTCATTTCAAAGATGCGGAAAGCAGGAATCAAATCCACCATTGCAATAGAGAAGTTTAAGCTTCTTGCTGAGAAAGTGGAGGAGATAGTGGCCAAGAATGCACGGGCTGAAATTGACTACAGCGACGCCCCGGATGAGTTTAGAGGCAAGTTTCTGTGCGCATGCTCACGTCTGTGGTGTGATTTGAAGTGTGTGGCATTAACAGCTCAGTCGCTGTTCCATTGCTTTGAAGTGACAGCATGACCAAGACAAGAGAAAGCATTTAATTGGCAGCTTGCTTACAGTTTCAAAGGACAACGGGCATGTAGGCATAGGGATGAGAGCTTGCATCCTGATATGCAGGCAGGCAGCCAGCCCAAGTGCTAGTAGGCCTGGCAAGGGCTTTTGAAACCTCAAAGCCCACTCCCAGTGGCACACCTTCTCCAGCAAGGCCACACCTCCCAACCCCCTCCAAACAGTTGTGCTAACTGGGATCCAGGCATTCAAACACAGGAGCCTGTGGGGCCGTTCTCATTGAAACTGCCAAGAGGACGCTCTCTGTGGTTTTGATTGTTTGATGATGTGCTGTAGCTGTTTCTTGAGAGTTGTTTAAAATTGTGTATACAAATTTTCCTCATACCGTGGTTAAAAGGTAGAACGTCCTTTTAAAATCTTCAGATATCCATGAAGATTTTAAAGGCAGCTCTGCCTTTAGAAGGGAGGATTCCAAGGTCTAAGGCAAAGGGTCCTGTCTCCTCCCAGCAGCAGTGACAGAGGCAAGACACGTGCCTTCATGGAGTGCTGCTCTCCCCCTCGATGCAAGGACCTGACGGCTGCTCTGCGGTGCTCCCTCTGGCTGCATCTCTCACTGGTGGGACAGTGTGCTTTTTTTCTTCAGGATCATCCTCACCGTAGTTTGTGTGCTCTGCTTTGTCTCCACAGACCCTCTGATGGACACCCTAATGATTGACCCCGTGAGACTCCCCTCTGGCACCATCATGGACCGCTCTATCATCCTGCGGCATCTGCTGAACTCCCCCACCGACCCCTTCAACCGCCAAACACTGACTGAGAGCATGCTGGAACCAGGTAGGAGGCTCAGCCTGCCTTGCAGCGCTGATGCCAGTGCCAGTGCTACGGCCGGACCATGAGGGAGAGGGAGGGCCTGACTGGAGCCTTGAGGCTGGAATCCCAGCTACTTGGGAGGACGAGGCAGAAGGCTAGCCTGTTCCTGGCCAGCCTAGACAACTTAGTTGAGAGACTATTTCAAATAAACAAAGAGAAAAGTTGGCCAGGCCTGTACCCACAGAACACTTGCCTAGCATGTGTATGTCCCCAGGTTCAGTCCCCGGCAGCACCACCAAAAAGGGGACATTGGATCGAGAAAGTACACAGTTTACACTTTGTTTATGGAGCAGACACAGCACTCAGTTCCCCTTTTGCTGTAAATGTCTCCTGTCTGTGGCTGTTTCTTCCACAGTTCTCACATGCAGAGGGAATGAATAGCTTTCTCTTTCCACTTAGAACTCCAAGTGGAGAGCGGGAGAGCCTTTCCATCTGCTCCATTAATCCCCCTGTCTTTTCTCCCTCAGTGCCAGAGCTGAAGGAGCAGATCCAAGCATGGATGAGAGGGAAGCAGAGCAGTGACCACTAAGCATCCCGTCGCCCTTCTCTGCTGGAAGCCGCCACGCCAGCCAGCCAGGCCGCAGCAGCACCCACCTCGGAGTGCTGCTCCAACCTGCAACCCGCTGTGGCCAGAATGAACGCCCACCCCAAGTGACCAAACAGAGATCTGAGGGACATGATGAGAAGAGGAGCCCGATTCCTGTACATATATTTAAGTGACAAACAGTCAAACGCCTGAGGGACGAGTCTCACGGCTGCTGTGTAGTAAAGTACGTCCTCTGCCTGTCACCTCCGGGGCTGTGGCAACGGAGGTCGTTAGTGATGGCGAGTGGGTGTGGGCAGCATCCCCTGAGCTTTCGTTTTGTTTTGTTTTGTTTTTTTCGATGTGACTAGAGAACTCGGACATTTTGCTGCTAAAGAATCTCCCCCTTCCTCACCCTACTTGCACTGCTGTGGGTTTTTTAAAGAGAAACAAAACCAGACTCCTTTCCCGGCCCTCCAAACATGTATTCTGTGAGATAACTGTGCCTGCGACAAAGTGTTAATCTTGGGATCGTATTTTTATATCATATTCACATACTTGTTTTTTTAATTGGTGTTAGATGACATGATTAATAAAAAAGGCAAGATATTTTCAGAATTTGAATTTCAGTTTTTTTTTCTTTTGAAATAGCCCTTTTCAATTTTTTTATTATAAAAAAAAAATGAAGAGAACCCTGTTGGCCTGGTCCTTCCACCAACCCTCAGCTAAGATTCTGAGGAACAGGTGCAGCAGCAGAACGGCTGAAGTGGATCAGGACTCAAGTGACTTGTGGGCTTTGGGGGAGGTGAGGGTTGTATTTTGTTTTTTGTTGTTTTTTTAATCCTATGTGACAATTTCAAATCTATACCATTATTGTCTGAGGATAGATACATTCCTCAGTCTGAGTTCATTTGTATGCTGTGTCCTTTTGGGGTTTGGCCTTACCAAAGCAAAAAAAAAAAAAGGGTGCAAGAAATGTGGAAATCTGCCTGCTTGTTTCCACGCCCGGACAAATGCCACTGCAAGCAGAAGCCCGTGGTATTACCGCTCCCTACACAACATACTTGAATTCTTGAATTTCCTTTGGGGTGAAAAAGGATTTGAAACCATAAAGTGTTTTAAAGAAATCTTCGGAGACATACTTTCTTTTCTCTCTTCCTTTCTCCTCTTCTCCACAGACGATATGCTCTGTTCAGTTCCCAAAACAAACTACAATAAACGGTGATGCCCATCCGGAAGGAGTCTTCTGTGCGTCGTCTTTTTGTGGAAAGGAAAGGGTGGGACAGGCTGGGCCTGGGGGTGAACACCATTAATCCCAGAACTCCCCAGGAAAAGGCAGGTGGATCTCTGAGTTAGAGGCCAGCCTGGTCTACAAAGTGAGTCCAGGACAGCCAAGGCTACACAAACCCTGTTTCGAAGCAGAGAAAAAAAGGAAAAAAAAAAAATTACAGACAGGGCCAAAGAGATGGTTTGGCCCTTATAGGGGCACAGAGGGACCCTTGTTTAGTTCCTGTGAACCACAGCTCTCAACTGCCTGAACTCCCATGGGCACCAGGCACACACATGCTACACATACATACATGCAGTCAAAGCACTTACACACGAAGTGAAAGGAATGAGGGAGGGCAAACGAGCCAAGTGCATGGGGAGAAATATGCTTTCTGGAGCCAATTAGAAGCCGCAATTCTTAAAATAAAACATTCAGAGCCATTGAGATGGTTTGGGGAATAAAGGTGCTTGCTGCCAACCCTGGCGACCTAAGTTTGACCTGGGTCTCCCCGGGATCACTGACCCCTACAAGTTGTCCTGTCCTCCACACATGCCAGAGCACGTCCCCCGAAACATACAATAAACATATGTAAAGAAACAGCCCCACTTTAAAGGAAGCTTTCCCATCCTCTTCAGTCTTGGTGAGGTCTCTTAGGTCTCATTCTGCTGTTTGCCAGTTTGAAGGGCCGTCGGTGTTGTCGGACTCTGCTCCCCACTTGTCTCTTAACTTCAGAGATCTCTGTGGCCAGCCACAGGTCCCATCCATTTCATCAGAACTGCAGTCTGCAAAATTGTTTGTGCCAGCACAGGCAGTAATAACAGCAGCCACCGGAAGCACTTAGGTGCCAATGCAAAAGCCTCTGTATTCAGCACCAGCCTTGAGTGAGACAGTGCTACTGTTTATCTGGTTGGTTCGGCTGGCCCTGTCTTCAGTATGTCAGGATACAGGCTGCAGAGAGATTAGGTGCCTTGCCCATTAGCCCATTAGTCCCTGGCAGGTATCCTGTCTCTGGGGCCCACGTCATTCATTACCTTAGTATATACTTTTCTTGGGCACATTGGATTCACCATGCCCTGCAAGCTCGGCCCCAAATACACACTTTGGGCTAGGATGTAGCTCAGTGCTAAGAGCATCTGCCTGGCATGCATGAAGGTCTGGGTTAATCCCCAGGGTTTGTTGTTGTTTTAAGAGGATTTCTCTGTGTAGCTTTGGCTGTCCTGGAACTAGCTCTGTAGACCAGGCTAGCCTTGAACTCACAAAGATCTGCTTGCCTCTGCCTCCTGAGGGATGGGATTAATCCCCAGTATCTTAATAATAAGCATAGTTAGTTAAACAAACAAAGTTATTCATGATCTCACCATTCACATGGTTCTGTTTGCTTTTTACAAGGTTTATTACCCACAAGCCTGTGCAGTTAGTTATATTTATATTAGTTAGAAGCGTCCCTGATGCTTGCTCGTTCCACAGTTATGGATTGCTTATCTCCTCCCCACCCCTAGGAGGTGCTGTCTCCATCCCAGCAATCTCATAGGTGCTGCCTTCTGTTGACTTCGGAACTGAAGGGTTTCAAGAATGCTCTTTCAGGAAGGAGTGGGGGCGAGGACGCGGCCAGTCTCCTTCCCTCTAGGGGTGTGGTTTGGGATTTTTATTCTTAAGGTAGCTACTTTATGGAAACTTATTGTTTGCCTTCAATCTGATAATTATAAGTGATACAATCCAAAATATTTCAAAAATAGGTCTGGATTAGAAGGAAAATTGTCCAAAAAGGAGAACTTGCATTCTATCAGCAAAAAGAAAGGCCTTGAGAAAGGCCTTGATGATGACGATTACATCATGCTCATTTTGGGAGTCGCCATTGGATGGGTTCTGGGCAGGGGCCCCTTCTCTTTCTGTCTTCCAGGCAGTGCTGATGGTCCAACTCGGGACACTTAGTCCCAGGCAGGTGCTTGACATCCGACAGTGACATCCTGGCTCCTGCAGGTGCACCTGCACGCCAGAAGAGGGCGCCAGATCTCACTATAGATGGCTGTGAGCCACCATGTGTTTGCTGGAAATTGAACTCAGGGCCTTTGGAAGAACAGCCAGTGTTCGTAACCTCTGAGCCATCTCTCCAGCCCCCGAGAATACCTTTCAGACCTTGAGTCCCCTCTCTGGTTTGCTTTGTGCTTGGCACACTGAACAGTGAAATGCCAGCTGTTCCGGTTGGGCCTCTATAAAGTGACCTAAGCATGGTCTGACTTGAGCTTTTTAAAAGATATATTTGTTTTTACTTTAAGTATATGTCTGCACCATCTGCGTGCCCATGAAAGCCAGAAGAGGGCACTGGATCGCCTGGAACTGTTGATTGCGAGTTGCCGTCTGGGTACTGGGTACTGCACCAGGGGTCTCTGTAAGAGGAGCACGTGCTGAGCCATCTCCATCTTACAGTTTGTTTGTTTTTTACTGAAAAACGTGAGCATAGCACCATCTCAGCCAGCGGGGGTGTGGAACTCGTCTGGGACTGATGGGTAGTGATTGGCATCTCTTGACTATGTTCAGCGTGCAAACCACTCGTGTGTAGTGGTGACATTTAATCCTTAACAGCCTTAGGAGGTGTGAAATCACACCGACGGAGCCGGGAGTCCAGGACTTTGCCTGGTGTCATCCCCTTTCCTGACACAGGGCTGAATCCTCGGAATGCCTTCTCTTCAGAGCTGCTCAGGCCGCCCAGAGAGAAGCACAGCACTGCCGAAGGCGCTTTGGCTTGGAGGCCGGCCCTAGGCCTAATGGTCTCTTTTTTTGTTTTGGTTTGGTTGGTTTTGTTTTTGTTTTGAGACAGAGTCTGACCCTATAACACAAACTGGCCTGGAACTCCCTATGTAGCCCAGGCTGACCACTTGGCTGCTCATTGCCTGTGTAAAAACCTAAGCAGAACTAAGAGATGGCTCAAAAGTTAAACATCTTTTGCTTTACAGAGTAGAGGAGGCTGAGTGAGCCCGGCTTGGGGGTTGATGAAAAGTACTCAGAGATTTTTAGTATAAGCCCACAGGTTCTTAATACTATTGGATGGAGTGGTCTCCCAGATTGTTTTCCAGTATTTGTTTACTTATTTGTGCGTATTGTGTGCCCATATGCGTTTATGTCCCCACGTGCATGTGGGTGCTCACAGACACCGGGATCCCACTGAGGACCCCGGACCCGGAAGCACACACAGCTGTCAAGCTCTGACATGGGTGCTGGGAGTTGAACCGGGATCCTTGGGAAGGAACATTATAAGCATTCCTAGCCACTGAGCTACCTCTCCATCTCCTCTGACTTTTTTTTGTAGCCAACATGGTGTTAACATGAAGCTTTTCCTTCCCTGAGATGAAACCATAGGTAATGGCACCCATGTAACTTTTTTTTTTTTTTGATGTTTTGTTTGAAACGGTCCCATGCAAGTCCATGTCGGCCTTGAACTCACTATGCAGCTGGGAATGACCTTGAAGTCTTATCCTCCTGCTCTACCCGTCAAGCGTTAGAATCGCAAGCTTGCGTCATCACGTCTGCTCTGCAGTGCTGGGGGTCAAACCCTGAGCTGCTCGTCCGCCAAGCTGGCACTCTGCCAACCGAGCTATACTGCAAGCCTCCCCTCCCAGCAGCTGTTATTGGAAACGAGGATAAGCTGAGCATTTGTGATGCTCTTAGAATAATCCGAGAGAGAGCCAACTACATCTGACTCAGAACAAAGCGATTGGAGCAGACCCAGGAAGACGGCTGGATTCTGGGATAGGTTGGGTTGTGTAGTGGAGACCTGTGAAGGGATTGGAGGGTGTGCCCACGTGGCTTCGAAGACCATCGCGCGCAGTGATGGCGATACTGAGAGGAGCAGGCGTGGGGTGGAGCGAAGGAGTCCAGGCTTGATGCAGGAAGTGGAAATCTTTTAGAACCTGTCTGCGGCAGAAGTCTGGCCTGGAGACAATCTGGGGCTCATCGCGCTGAAAGCAGACCAGTGGCCCCTGACCATCTACACTGACTTAGATGAACGTGTGGCAAACACCTGCGGTCTCAGCGCCTCGTGGGTGGGTGTGGGAGGGTTGGGACTTCATCCTTGGCTGCATGGCAAGTTCAGGATGAGACCAGCCTGGACGACGGGGGGGGGGGGCACTCCCAAAAATGTAAAAATAAATAAATAATATGCGCATCAGAGGCCAAGCACTGGAGGGCTTCGGCCGGGAAGCTCAGCTATTAGGAGGTAGATGCTGAAGGGTCACGTATTCAAGGTCATCTTGGGCTACCCAAGACCCTGTCTCAAAATGCCCAAACCCAAACAAAACAATCTTCAGTGCTCACCGGGCTTTGCCTGCCTGTCAGTCCCAGGCCAGGGTCACCTGCCCAGAAAAAAACCTAGTGTTGTTGTTAAACGGATCACCTACATGTTGCGGGTTAAACCAGGAACTGTGGTTTTATCGCCGTAAACCATGGCGTAGTTGTCTGAGTTCAGGAGCTGCTCACTGAGGGAAGCTGCGTGTTTGTGGTCAGACTGAATCCGGGGCTGCAGCTGTCCTGAGGGCTTCCTCACCTCTGCTCCCGGCCTGTGCTGCTGCAGTCGTAGGTGCTCTCAGTTTCAGAGCCTGGGAATATAAACCCATCTCTCAAGGGGAGGAGTGCTGGTGGCTGATCTTAAGATCAGCACGAGAAACAGAAGGACTAGGTTTTGTTTTGATTTGATTTGTTTTTGCTTTGCGTATTGGGGTAAAGCCCAAGGCCCCACAAATACCAAACGCAGGATCTGCTGCTCTAAGCTACTCTTTGGAGTATTTCGTCATAAGAGACATGAGCCAAAGCCTTGCTCCCGTCATCTCCAAAGCCCCTGGGACCGGGGCCGGCAGAGGCCTCGTGGTGCTGCTGCCTTCAGAAGCGGCTCTAAATCTTCCGTCCTTGTGTGCCCTGTATCATTTTATGGCGGCTTGAATTATTTATGCTGTTTTGTTGAAAGCTAAGCATGTT